TATACATAATACAAAGCTCTCATTCGGCATTGCTTTTGTTCCTGTGTTGAAACTGGAAGAAAGAACATGCCTAATTTACACTGGAGGCTGCAAAATTTGTGTGCAAGGAGGTTTTGCAATATCTAACAAATGCTTAGTTTTCCTCATTATATGTTCAAGAACATATTTAAAACTTCAATCAAATTGAATCAAATCTATGGTCTTTTCCAACTGTATGATTTTGATCATACGTGAAATTTGGGTCTCTGAAGAGCCCTCAGGCGATCCGAGAAAACATCTTTTATCTTAAGAAGTCTAAATGCAACAGAGCAAAAAGCAGTCTGTCATGGTTTAAGCCAAGCCAGTAACTCAGAACCATGCAGTCATTCGCTCACACCCCTTGGTCCCCAACTCCTGGCAGGACGGGGAGGAGAACTGAAAGAACATAAACCCTAAGGGTTGAGATAAGAACAGTCCAATAACTAAAGTATAATATAAAACTACTACTACTACTACTAAGGGAAATAGCAAGTGGAGAGAAAATAGAACTAAAAGGGGAAGGGAAAAAAAAAAAACAAACAATAAAAACAGGCGATGCACAATACAATTTCTCACCACCCATCAACTGATACCCAGTCCAACCCAAGCAGCAATCTGCCCCTTCTGGGTAACTCCCCTAAGTTTCTATACTGGGCATGATGTGCTGTGGTATGGAATATCCTTTTGGCTAGTTTGGGCTAGGTGTCCTGTCTCTGCTCCCTCTTGACTTCTTGTGCTTCTCCACTGGCAGAGCATGAAACTGAAAAGTCCTTGATAAGGGTAAGAGATACTGAGCAACAACTAAAACATCGATGTGTTATCAGCATTATTCTCAGACTAAAGCCAAAACATAGCACTGCACCAGCTACTAGGAAGGAGAAAAATTATAGCTGAAACCAGGACACAGTCTGAATGGTTATCACAGACTTTGCTGAAAAATATATGTTAGAAAATTATCTAGATGCCATTTAAGTAAAACTGATCTGGCTTTAATTACTGAGATATAGATTTTTACCCACAGAGGATATGCTTAAGGCACTGTGCTGTATTACAATGGGTCAGCTTTCATACTAAGGAATGAAATAGCTGTTTTAAGGTGCGAATATTAAAGTGTGAAAATAGCTGCCTTAGGGTCCTTATATTAAAGTGTGAATTTAGAATGAATCTAGAATGCAATCTCCTACAACTGCACCTGGGGAAAAAAAAAAGAATAACCGCTATATTTAGTAAGCGTAGGTATCTATTAGTAGAGCAACAGTCAGTTTAATGGGCAGGTGTTCACTCTTAGAAATCAGCACATTTTCATTTAGTTCTCTTCATTTCAATATATTCATGAATTTTTAAAGGCAGAAGTTTGAAAATGCTGGCCAGACCTCAAGTTAGCCTATTATCATTGTCAATATTTTGTTGGAAATTAATCACTAGTTGACATAACGTTACTTTTGTATATTCTTTCTCTCCCTGCCAACATAAATCAAATTGTCTATACAAAGTTACAGTTTTGAGACAAGGAGAGAAGTATGTCTCTTCTCCCTCTTCCCTTCTTTCTATGCCCCATCACATAAACTTTTTTTTTTGTTTGGTGTCTTTCATCATTTTGACAGAAGACATGTACAATAACTCACCACTTAAGTTATGTACCAGATTTTCTAAGAGCATCCTTACAGCGTAAAGGTCTTCAGGAAATGCACTCACCAGTTTCTAAAATCCGAAAAGCACATTTGGTTTCATTCATAAGATAACAGACTACTTTCTCAGCTCTGTGGTTCTATGGAAAACCCACTGAGAACATTAGCATCTGTAGTTTAAAAGTGGGGTCCTGAGAAGTGTGTTCTTGAAGCTACATGGTGGTATCTGCTAAAGAACCATTTTAAAGTGTTTCAGTACACAGGTTGATCTTGGCCTGAAATTGTTAGCCTACAAGGAAAGTGCAGGCTCTAAGGAAAGCACAGATACAACTGTCCCAAAGAGTGTCACTGAGACACTGGTGACTGTTCTTAATTATACAATAATCTGATTTTGTAGAAACCTCCTTTTGTGCAGTGCATTAATGTCCTTTCACTGGGTTTACTCCAGTAAATCCACATTCCTTTCATATTGGGAAGTCTTGCATTCCTGGACCTGGCAGTCCAGATGTGTCTCTCCTGGGCTGAGCAGAGGGGAAGGATCCCCTCCTTTGAGCTGCCCTCCACACACTCTGCCTAATGCAGCCCAGGAGGCTGGTAGCTGCTTTTGGTGCAAGGGCTCGTTGCTACCTCATGGGCAGATTGGCGTACACCAGGATCACCAGATCCTTCCTCTGCGTAGGTCTTTCCAGCCACTCCTGCCCAATCCCCAGTATCGACTGGTGCCTAGGGTTAAGTTGTATAACTTAAAGCAGAAAGCAACAGAAAGTAGCAATAGCAGAAAAAAAAAAAAGAAAAAAAAAGAAAAAGTATTATTATATAGTTCATATAATTATGTAGCATACAGTGTGTGGAGCACAATTTAATGTTTTTGTGTATGAAAGTGACAGTGGCATCTTTATTGACAATTAAGGGATATCATTAAATTTATGCTTACAAAGGTAGAACAAGATATTAAAAACAGGGGATAATGCACCCAAAAAGTCTGAGTTACACAAACTTTAAGAGAAATTGTATTGAAGAAAAAATGCACAATAGTCCTTAAAGATCCTAAACAAATTAAATTCCTAATACTAAAAAACCATCTCATACTAAACAAAGGAGTTCTCCATATCTTTAGGAAGAGCAGGTTGTTATCTTGAAAACTCTGAAATATATGAGGTGACAAAAACCAGCATGCATATTAATACACTCAACAGAGAGCTCAACTGTACCCTAAAACATTGTCAATAACAGGCATGAAGGAAAGGTGAATAGCTCTGACATCACTGGAAGAAATTGGTAATCATCCCACCATTCTCACTCAAAAAATTATTCAATTATAATCATAAAAGTATTCTGAATTTGGCATTTTTACATATGAACTTACAAATTGAAATAGAAAGTAAAAATAATTTTGAAAAGTAAATGCATAAGTCGTAGGCAAAATAAAAGCAAACTCATAACCATGCGTTCTGTTTTTCTATGATTCTGCAATCTGGCAGTGATGAGAAGATTAAAATATTTAAGAACAGAATTCAGGAGAAAATCCTTTATGAGCTATAATCTCCTGGTTCTAATCTAGTAAAAGCAAATGGACACAAATCCAGTGAAACACATGAAATGTTTTCCATGATATTATTTAAAGTGTAAACTAATAGAAGTTTTTTGATTATGTTTAAGAATTTGTATAATAATGTGTGAATGTTATGTTTTATTGCCTTGCACTTAAAACCTAACCTATTAGCAGGCACTGATGTCATACATCATAATGGATTCAAACAGCACAGTTAAAGAGGTTAGATTTGGTGGCAGCTGTCTAATCTATCACAATTATCTAATTTTAAACCCTCTTGGCACAAAGTGAGGGAAAATAAATTTTCTATTTATCATTAATTTTCCCACTGCGCATAGTGTAAATGGATAATAACCTGGCACCATTGATCTATTTGTGAAGGTTAATTAATCATACATTTTTCTTAAGAAAGTGTTATATTATGAAAAACCTTATTTCTTGCTGACTTTATCAGTTGGATACTTTTGCCCCCTCAACACCCACAAATATTTGACTTACAAAAGCTCCTTAGAAGCTCAGGTTAAGAGTATGCAAATTATCTGTAATTCAGTTCAAATATTTATCATTGCTATCATGTATTATTTATAGCACTGACCAGAATAGCAGTAATATAGGCTGGTACATATGTGTAAATTTCTTCCACAGTATAGTGCACCAGGGTTGAAGGTCTGCTATAGGAGAAGAATGACTCTCATTTCAGTGGCAATAAATCAGTGAAATGAGAATTAATACTTCCTATCCATAATGCTACTCAGAATTTTCTTCTGAAGTCACAAACCAGACAGAGCTCAGAATTATATTGATTCAAGTTCCTTGTAATCGTGCACTGGATTTTGTTCTCTCTAAAAAAAAAAAATATCATTATAAATCATATATCATTATGAATCAGAATGGCATGTATATTATTTCCTCACATGAAGTGCTGATGAACTGCACAAATCTTGATAGCTCAAGTATACTCACAGTGTTGCACCTCTATGCCACAGTCTAATAAAGAAGGTAGGATAGTATTTCTGACTCTTAATCAACAGATGTACAAAAACTCAAACATCATTTAAAAGAAACTCAGAATCAGACTTAATTTAGAAATGTGATGGTGATACACTTCCTAAAACTAATGTAAACATATTGCAGGTTACAATTTCCAGCTCTTATTTAGATCAGGTAAAACCGTGCCACTTTTCAATAATTCCTTCTTGATCAGGATTATAAAAATATATTTATTTAATATTAACTTGCAAACCCATATCTTCATCCTTCATTCCAGATTTTAATTTTCCCCCACATGTATAACATAGGGACATGGCTTTAAAAATTCTTTATGACACAAGATCTGTTGATGCCTTTTTAAATCTTACTCCACTGAAGTGACTTGGGAGGATCATATGAACTAGTTTTCTACAGTCATAGAATCACAGAATTGTAGAATCAAATAGGTTGGAAAAGACCTTTAAGATCATCACATCCAACCTTTACCTCAGGATGGCCAAGTCCATCACTATACCGTGTCACCCAGTGATTTGCTTTGACTATATTTGTCACATATTACTTTTTTGTCCCCTGTCTAGGAGAATGCAGGTTGCCTTTATTTTATTTTTTTTTTTTCAGAAAAGACTTAAGAATACTTTCTTTTTTTTACTGTATCCTTGCTGAAAAAAGCTGTTGAAAAATGCCATTTCTGTTAGTATCATATCACCTCAGTGCCTTCGAATGTTTTCAGTATGATTTAGATCTATGATGCATTGCCAGTCTACCTAGAACGCTCTTGTTCCTTCTATTGCATAGTGACAAGGAACACTGACCTTACGAGGTGGTGTTTATTCAGCTTGCAATGTCTTTCAGATTTAATAGGTAATCCTCCATCTAAAAGCAAACAGCCCTTAAATGGCCTCAGATAGATCTGCAAAATGTTTTTTTGTCAGCATTGCTGAATTCCATTTCATTTATGACCTTTTGCAGTGAAAAAACTGACTTTGTATTCCTCTAAATGCTTGGGTAATAATGGGAAGAGAAACCAGCCACAAGATTCTGTGCCACTGTAAAGTACATTTGATAGTAAGAAACTAAAGGAGGCTTAATGTTTATTTTTCCTGCCAAAATGAATTTAAAATAAAGAAAGGTCAAACAACCTTATTATATATTAACTCAATTTATCCTTCATCAAACCTCCTATAGGTCCAAAGAGCTTTATTTCTCACTTTAGAAATACAGATGTATGCTTATATATTCAGTAATAATTTAGGCCATGTAGTCTCTAAAATTATAACAATGGGGAAAAAATAGGTTTATATATATTTTCCACTTAATAAACATCACATGAACTAATTTTCTCATCATTTTAAATCAGTTATAGCTGTGATATGTCTAGCTTTACAAGCTGGCTGAAGTTATGAGGCTTTTTTCTTCCCATTGTCTTATCTATAGTGTTTTCAGATTTGAAGCTGGTTTTAATGAAGGGGGATATTTCAAACATTCTTCTGTTGTATTTGGATTTATTTATTTTAATATTAATGATAATATTCTCGACCTCTAACAGAAGAAGATATAAATTAAACAACAACAAAAAAAAAAAGCTAGGAAATCATAGTAAAGCAAGAAATGCAATTTGTGGCACTTAATTAAAGTGAATGCTAGTTCCATAAATTTTCCATTCAGTTTCAGCAGTGCACATGGAAGTCACTTGAAAGATAGCCACTGTTTCCCTTATATTTATCTAATTTATCATACATATTGCAAAGACAGAAAGTGAATATTTTATCATGATGACTTTACCTTATTAAAATACAACACAGAACACATATGTCTTATTTAAATATGATAGGAGAAAAGTGCTGGACAATGCCTGAATCTGATGTTCATTGTTCTAAGCAACGTGCAATTTAATAGTTCCAGAGGATCTCATCATCATGAGTAATCCATGTATTCTCTAGCCTAAATTTTAAATCTAAAAATAGACTGGCAGATGCCTTATGCTGTTGTTCTGTTATTTTTTTCTCACTTGACTACTACTCATTTTCTCTGTAATTTTTGAACCAGAATTAGCTCTAAAGGCTGGTCTCTTTTTCAGAGACCAGCAACTGTCAATTAGTGAGGGTTTTATCCAACCTGTGCCCATATTTTCAAGAACTTGCATTATAATATCACACCTCAACTGTGTATCATAACAAGAGATGCCAGATACCAATTTGTAGGTCACACAGCCATTTTTCTAGCAAGTTGACTGACCAAGGTTAAAGCATCACATCATTTAGCATATAGCAAAGTTAGCAAAATTTAAAACTGTGCCTTGTTACTAACAATGGTAATACTGTACTTTCTGGTTAACCATGATGCAACAGTAGGCACTGGATGACCTCCTTTACACTTGCAGTTTAAACCCATCCAGACACTAAGTATCACGCAGTCACTAGTTTGTACTCCACTTCCACTTCCCAGGCAGGATGGGGAGGAGAATTAGAAGAATGTAAACCCCACGGGTTGAGATAAGAATAATCCAATAAATAAAATAAAGTAAAATACAGTGATAATTGAAGGAATACCAATAATAGGGATCAGCAACAACAACCAAAAAAAAAAGAAAATTCAGAAAATGCAAGTGATGTGTAATACAATTGCTTACCACCAGCTGACCCAGCAGCAATCCTTCTCTTTCTGGTAACTCTCCCCAGTTTCTATACTGGGCATGATGTGCTGTTGTATGGGATACCCCTTTGTCTAGTTTGGATCAGGTGTCCTGTCTCTGCTTGCTCCAGCGTTCTTGTGCCCCTCCTCACTAACAAAGCATGAGAACCTGAAAAGTCCTTGATAGGGCAAGCATTACTTAGCAGCAACTAAAACATTGCTGTCTTACCAGCATTTTTCTCAGACTAAAGGCAAAACGCACTGCACCAGCTACAAGTAAGAAAATTAACTTTCTTCCAGCTGAGACCAGGATACCACTAAATGAAGAATCATGCATCACTTCTGCACTAGCACTAATGCTTCTTAAATTTCATGAATCCAGTTATAACCATGTGTATATATTACTCCACCATATAGTATTCAGTTTATTTTGTAATTAAAGGAGACCAGATATAGTAATTGGAGAAAATTATCATCTATATTCTCCAATATGGATGATTCCAGAAAATAGTCTGAATGTTTTCCCACACATGTACTTCCTTTGTTTAAGATTATCAGAGACAGTAAAAGCCAACAGGAAACTAAACATGCAACCCTTCTTGTAAGTTCAGGTACTGTTCTTACTTATACTGACTTTAGACCAGTAACCTGTTTTCAGTCTTAGGGAAGACTGGCTATATAAACTGCGAAAGGATAAGGTGTATTGGAGTTATACCTAACTAAAGTGATTTCAGAGTTTACGCACTAGAACTATTATTATTCATAAATTGTATCTAAAAGCTTTATTCAAAATTCTATTCAAAGCTTTAACATATAGCAGAATTTATAAATGAATGTGACAGTAATTATTGGTTTGCAACATTTGTTTTCTTATCTCCTTCTGTTATAAATTACACACTGCAAAATACCTGTTAAATCACCTTCAAGCTATAATGGTATAATGAGATTTATCAACTTGACAGTAAGCTAATTTCAGGTTGATTTTTGGGAGCTCAGCAGATTATGAAATGTTTGTACTATATTACCACTTTATCAAGGCAAGCAATAAAAGTTACTTTCTAGCATTTACATCAAGACACAGGAACTGTTCATGTGATCAAAGATTAATATTTACCTTGTATATCATACTTTATTCACAGAATATCATTCAGATCTAGATACTAGATGCAGTTATACTGAGAGATATAGGTAACCCTATAAAAAAAAAAAAGAGAAAAAAAGTGAGAAAAAATAAAAAAGAGGTTATTTTGCAGTAGTATATTCCTGACAGTGTCCCTGTCCATCACTGCATTCTTCACTTTCTCTATCTCAGCACAGCAGAGGTAGCTGCCTCCTGTGGGACTGAAGTTAGGTACTGTTGGAAAAATAACCCTCACTGTTCAGACTTTCCATCTCTTTTCCAGTACCCAACTCATCACCCCAGCTGTGGACATCTCTTTCCTTCTAAAACATGGTCAGAAAAGATGAGCAGCGCTAACACACCAGGATCCCAGCAACTGTATGCTGAATATCACTAAATCACTAAATTGCAAATTAGCCTCTAGAGATCTAAGGCGTAGTCTGCAGACTTCAGTAGGGTTATTCAAATGTGATAGACTAAAATGCAGTGAAGATGTAGATCTTTAATATACTTTCATTCCAGATGCTGATAGTGAATTAACTGAACATTCACTTAGTGTAAGAGAGTTGATGTATATTATAATATTTTACATATAGTATGCTTCTGCTAAATGTGTATCAGTACTCTTTACTGAGGTAGAGTAGTGACAAAAAATTATGGGTACTGCAAAGAAGAAATTATTGACTTGCATGATACCCCTTCCTTCCTTCCTTCTTTCCTTCCTCCCTTCCTTTCTTCCTTCATTTCTTTTCCCTCTTCCCTTCCCTTTCCCTTTCCCTTCCCTTCCCTCCCCTCCCCTCCCCTTCCCTCCCCTCCCTTCCTCTCTCCCTCCCTTCCACTCCCCGCTCCTCCCCTCCCTTCTCCTCTCTTTTCCTTTCTTCTTTTTTTTGATTGCTTGCTTTATAGTTTTCTTGCTTTCCTGCTTTCTGCCTCCCTGTCTGCGTGTCTTGTGGTCCTTTAATCTGAAGGTGAAACTATAACATTTTACATGCTGGTTAATTAATTAGTACTGAACTCACTGCTAACTAGCAACAGTTTGCTTACCTAAACTGAATATACAAACAAATCATTGATTTATCTTGTTAAAATAGTCATGAAACAATTCAAACTTTGTCCATAGAAAAGAAACGCATATAAGAAAAAAGAAAGCTGTATTTTTTCCAACAAGTTTCAGCGATAATATTCATTAAGGGCTAATATTTGTTCAAATGTGTTATGTTGTCATTAGCTGTGTATTTTTTTTTATTGCAGTATTGTTTTCTTTCATGTCTGCCTCCTATGAAAGGATCGTGTATGATACCATTTATATACGTTTACACAAATATACGTTTAGCATATTTTGCCCAGAAAAGTGCCGGTTTTTTTCCTACTCAGACTTTGGGATTTTATTTACAAGGAATCCTTGATTCATCTTAGGGCTTTATAATTATTTACAAGAGGAATGAATTTAAGTTTGTCATACTTCAGTCTGTCTACTGTACTAAGCTTTTTTGGCAAAGGGCTTTTGTCAAAGTTGCGAGCAAGAGTTTCATTTTGTATCGAAGTGTGTTTTGCAACAATATTCTAGGCTGATGTAGATCTGAGTACACATTGTGATTTTTTTTTTTTTTGAGATTTTACTGTGTTAATCTGTTAAGTAGTCAAGTTTACTGTGTTATAAACTGAAGTCTTATAACATCATATTAAAGAAGAAAAGCATATTCAATAAGTAACAGCCGATATGTCTAACACAATATGAACACAGATCTATACCTTCCAGGCCTGATGTCCAACCTTTCTAAGCACTAAAAATCAATTAAAGCATTCCCCAACTGTTCAAAATATTGTATCCCATTAAATAGTGAAAAGGGAACTATGTGTCATGGTTTAAATTCAGTCATTAACTCAGACCCACACAGCCTGCTTGCTCACTACCCCCACTTCCTCCCCCCCACCCTGCTCCCGGAGGGATGGGGAGGAGAATCGAAAGAATGTGACTCCCATGGGTTTAGATAAGAACAGTCCAGTAACTAATGTATAACACAAATCACTACTGCTTGTTGACGTGGGAGTCCTGGACAACGCAGAGACAACCAATGTGATCAAACAATTGCTGTTTATTGAGCATCAGACATGATCTTTTATACACAAATCCACACATTGATTATACACTGATTGGTTAACATGCCTTGCCAACGAGCTTCTGATTGGGCTTTACACAAAGTTGCTTAATACAAGTTACAGCTATTTATGTTTAGCACTAACCTCAACATTCTTACACTGCAGTTTTACATCCTGTTTTTTGTTCTTAACGTCGCTAATGTTGCAATTTCATTTCCCCCACTGCTATCCCTGGCTAACCTCCCCTCTGGCCTAGTATTTTTCCACTTACAGAGAAGCTCTACTTATGCTAACTGAGAAGCCCGACTCATGCTAACTAAATCCATACAACTGCTACCACCAATAATGATAATGAGAAGGGAAATAACAAGGGAAGAGAATACAAGACCTCACCACCCACCGACTGACACCCAGCCTGCCCAAGCAGTGAACTAGACCTTCTGGGTAACTCTCCTTTTACATCCTGGGCATGACGTGCTGTGGTATGGAATACCTCTTTGGCTAGTTTAGATCAGATGTCCTGTTTCTGCCTCCTCCCAGCTTCTCCTCCTCCCCGGCTGAGCATGAGTGACACAGGAGTTACGGACAACACAGAGACAATCAGTGTGATCAAGCTACTGCCAAATTTATTCCCACACATCACAGCTTTTATAGTTTATAGAACTAGTTAATGTAACCAGTATAGATTCTGATTGGCTCAAAAGTGCTGTCCACCCATTTTCAAAGTAGATAATAGATTAGCTGAAAGCTTGTCCATTTGTTACTTTTTGCACACATCTTACAGTTTTTCCATCCCACTTCTACATCTTGTTAACCTTGAGCAAATGCCAAGTTCCTTGTTCTACTGCACATAGCTGTCCTTTAGTAACCTAAGGTTAGGCCTTGCAGCCTGGGTAACTTGAGTTCAGGCCTTACAGCTTAACTCAGAGTTTGGCTAAGACCAAACAGCTGGGATGGCTCACATGGCCAGTGTTCAACTGTATTCTTTATAGCCACCATCTCCTAAGGCTAAGACGTCTGGGTTGGTCACGAAGTGTCCACGGTTCCTTAGCCAATCCACACATGAGATTCAGAAAGTCTTTGGTCAGACTAAACATCTGAGCAGTAACTAAGAACATCGGTGTTATCAGCACTGTTCCCAGGCCGAAAGTCAAAAACACAGGGCTGCACCAGCTACTAAGGAGAAAAAATGACTGCTACTGCTGAAACCAGGACACTATGAAAAGGAAAATCAGCTCTGAGAGACTGACGGAACATAAATTATTGAAGTGTACAAAAGTATTCAAATTACAGAGACACTACCTTCCAGAATTCAAATCTCTGTAAAAATACAGTTCATGAAATCACTATCTGGTCATCAGAAACTGTGGTGTGACTAGAGAAACAAAATAAGCGTTGCAATATCAAATTAAAGAAAAAAATCTTACATGTAGGTTCATCAGTTTAAAGCTTTTAATAGCTCTTGTCCAGCCCATATATTAGTGTTTGCTTTCTGCACAATTCTGAGTATGGTGAACATAGCATGTGAGAAAAAGAGACAGATTAATTTAATCTGTGATTGAAGCAGAGTACAAGTTGGGAATTCACTTGACCCAAAGATATTGTCACAGTATTCCAGAGTCTGGTATGGAGGCATAAATGGGGAATCAGCTGATCGTATTATTTTATATTTAAGAAAAATAAGTAGAAATTGTGCTAACATGAATATTAAGTTGATGGTGCAATGTTAAACAAGCTTTTTTTTTATTGAACAAAAATTGAGTCTTGTTATTTTATTGACAAAGGGAAAAGTGTAGACTTAATTTATGTGATCTTCAATA